TCCACAAAATTCTCCATCAGCATAATCACCCAGGGCAGGCTACAATAGGCCAATCAGTGGCCGCCGTGCCAAGTGGAGCCAGATGGACTCCACTCCCCACTAAGCGAATTTAAAAAAAAATCATCACCATAAAACTTACAACATGCTTCCTAGTTTTTGGCATGGTTATCACTAAAATTGCAGGAAAATCCCATTACAATTTCTCCAATGGCTTCAAACAACAGAAATATTTCATGTTAAAACTAATTCTTAAACACTGGTACGTCACACTTACTGCCATCAATTAGCATGTAACTCTCCACAGTTCCATTGTACTGACAGGTATGTGCTTGTAATTTTTAGTTGGGCATCAGTGGACTGTGTCCACAAAGGATAAGTGCACTTCAGGTGCTCGGTTAATTGCAGATGCTCACTTTCCTCAGCAGGGTCAATGGATGAGGTCTCAGGTTCAGGGTCATACAGGACTCCATGAGACTGCATAGCGGGAAACACGGATGATAGACTGGAGATGAAAAAGGTTCTGAAACTTTTCATTAATAAAAACTTAACCCTTGATTAAGAGCACTGCCTACTACAAATAACAGTTTAATAGAGTAATCTCTACTGCCAAANATAATATGAAGGTCCTCAGTATGCTAGTATATCTAGAGTTACTGAAGAAAACAGTCAGGATACTCAGTTCGAAATGTTAACTACAGTTCATTAATTGGAAGGCGTTCATTCTCAGTTGTGAACAATAGATACAGTTAAACTAAGAGTAAACACGGGAGCAGATCTGAGGCAGTATAGGTGGTGTGTTAAAAAAGTATCGAACCTTTGGTCGGCAGAAAGGCATTTATTGATTTGGAGGTACAAAACCCTAATCCCCTTCAAAGTAGTCTCCTTGGTAATGCACACACTTCTCCTAGCGCTTCCGCCATTGTTGGAAACACTTCTGGAACGCGTTTTCTGGAATGGTGATCAGCCAGGCTGTCGCATTCTGCATGATGTCTTCTCTTGACTCAAATTGGGTTCCTTTCAGCGGCATTTTCAGCTTGAGAAATAGCCAAAAGTCACACGGAGCCATGTTGGGGGAGTAACGAAGCCTGACGAACCACAGGGATGTTGTGTTTGGTGCCGAAAATCTGAATCAGATGTGCAGAATTGGTGGCNCTTGAGAAATAGCCAAAAGTCACACAGAGCCATGTCGGGGGAGTAGAGAGCCTGACAAACCACAGGGATGTTGTGTTTGACAATGAAAGTCTGAATCAGATGCGCAGATGGGTGGGTGCATTATCATGATGGAGCTGCCAAGTTTTTGCTGCCCACAGATCCGGTCATTTGCGCCGCACAGCATCATGAAGGCGACAAAGGACCTCCTGGTAGTATTCCTTTGTGATGGTTTGGCCTTGTGGTGCGTACTCCTGATGCACGACCCCACAGGAGTCAAAGAAAACAGCCAACATGACCTTGACATTGCTGCGGACCTGCTGTGTTTTTTTTGGCCTCGGGGATGTTGGATGTTTCCACTGTGATGACTGCATCTTGGTTTCTGAGTCGTACCCATAAACCCATGACTCATCGCCTGTGATCACAGTGTTCAGAAAGTTGGGTTTACTGTTTGCATTGTCCGGCATGTCCTGTGCAATTTCCAGATGGCATTGCTTCTGCTCCATTGTTAGCAGTTTCAGTATGAATTTTGCGGACACTGTCCTCATGCCCAAAATCCTCGGTCAAAATTGAAAGTACCGATCCAATGCTTACCCCTATCTCGTTCGCAAGTTTTCGGACTGTGATACGATGGTCCTCCATGACCAAAGTTCGCACTTGCTCAATGATATTCTCATTCAAGCTTGTTGAGGGTCTGCCTGAACGCGGTTCGCTGTTCACTGATGTGCGGCCATCTTTGAAGTGGTTGTACCACTCCTTTATCCATTAGTTGCTCATGGCATCGTCCCGTAAAGCCTGTTGAATCTTGCAAATGGTTTCCACTTGGGTATCGCCAAGCTTTTGGCAAAATTTGATGCAATATCGCTGCTCATGTTGTTCCATCATTTTACACCTTACTGGAATCCGACAAGCGCTCACTACACATCCTCACTCATAGGACGACTGCCAGCAACTGACGCTTTCTGCGGGCGGGAAAAACTTCACAACTGCACATGAATGTCCCCTCCACATCTCCACCGAAGGGAGCCTCCCACGCTTCATTGGTTTATGTAGGGAAAAAGAATGTTCGATACTTTTTGAACACACCACGTATAAGGGACAAGAATGGACAGCTGCTTTAAAGAAAGACAAGTTTCACCAAGGACCAAAAAAACACGGAAACAAACTCCGTGGTCTGCAGTCTGCAAGCAAACTATACCGACCGAGAGACCACCACTTGTCAGTGAAGTTAGTGCCAACTTTTTTGGGTAGAGGGTGTCACGTGCTCAGCGCAACGGATCCCCAAGGCCGTTAATCTCAGTTTTCTAGACCGGAGCCGCTATTTCCTTGAAACAGCTCCTCAATTATCTTCACGAGGCTGAGTGGACCATGCTCCAGACCCACTACTTCTCAGAAAATCTGGTAGCGCCGGGAATCGAACCTGGGACCTCAGGATCTGTAATGAGGAACTCTGACCACTAGACCACAGAGGCGACCTCATTGAGGACCATAAAGCCAGAGAGTAAGTTAGTAAGTACATCAAGTACATGGTTCGGTTCAATGGTACCGCATTATTAAGGTACAACTGGATATGAATCATAGCTACTCACACTATGGCGTTCCTTACTTCCCAGACGTCTTCCAGTTTTGCCTTGAAAATACTTGAGGTCAGCATATGTTTCCCTGAACTGTTCAAAGTCAAATGCAGACAACCTTTCCATGTACTTCTTGAAGCGTTCCAAATTGAGAGTTCCACCTTCATTCACATAACCTGCACCACACAACATGAGAACTACAGACAGTGTGATTCTGTGTGTAATCTGCAGGCTTACCAGTATGACAGGCACAGGCCCACAAGCCTACAAAGTATATATGGACAGTATATCAACTTTCAGTGCTTTCAATACAACTCACAGACACTCAACCTCTTGATGTACAGTGGGTACTACATATAGTATTAAACAAAAAGTTCTGGGAAGAAATTACTGCTTACTTTCCTTTTATACAATATGGGCCATATAGAAAATAACATGTCTAACAATTCTTCTATTGTTTTGTGTGTATTCATTGCTGTAGTAACGTTTCTACCTAATAACTGCCTAGCAAAATAAGGGGATACACATATAACACAAAGTGGTGGGAGGGATTTATGAAGTAAATTGCTGAAATGGGCTCAGGTGCTATGATATGCATACCATGTTTCATAAAGACTGGTTAAGCCATTCAAAAGTAGATAAGGCGGGGGAGACACACACAGACAGCATGGTGATCATATAAGCCTGCTTCTCACAGAATATATTTATATGTTTTGGTATGATTTTAACAATAAATAGCATTCATTTCCGTTATTCAGATAAAAGTCATACTTTACAGTGCGACGCAGCGTCTATATGAGCACACAAAATGCGTCCATTGTAACAAACGTACTTTGCTGCGGACACCACACAGCTGCAGAATGAGGGGCATAGTTTTTTGTCTGCAATGGAGCCAGAAGAAAGCGTAGCATTCGCCTCTCTTGTTTATTTCTACAATGGACGTCACAACGTTCGTTATAACAGACGCATTTTGTGCACTCGTGTAGGCGCTGCTTAAACTTCAATAAAATTTAAAAAAAATGGGAAGTATGCCAGATTCATAGGTTCTAGTTCATGTAACTCACCACCAAGTGTTGGTAACACATCAATGTATGCCTCATACAGAGTAGGCAGTGCTCCATTGATAATGTGCATGTCAGGAAGAGGTGGGATGAAGTCATTTCCCACAAGAAACCCCATCAGAACCTATAAATTAAAAAAAAAAAAACAATAATTATGTTTGTCATAAATACAGAACAGGAAATTTTCAAATGCAATCTTTGCAATTCTACATGCCTCATTGGCCCTGCTGACCATTAACTGCAGATACAAATCTAATGTTTCAAAGCTAACAGCATAACAGACATCACATTACATAGAATAACAAAATATATGTCCTTGGTATCTTATTAAATATATAAACCAGATCCGTACATTAACCTCAGTACTAGATGGAGGTGAATAATGAGCCTGACACCCAGATGCTTAATCCTTGGGGAAAGAGTCACTGGTATTCACTGGATAAGTGGCTGGGTGGACCCAAGAGGTGGTCTAGCTGCTACGGAAAAAAGAAAGATCTCTTGTTCCTGGAGAAAACTGAACTAATTCCTCCATTGCCCTGAATGGAGCCAAGTCACTACACCATATGAGCTCTTCCGGTAACAAACCCCCCAAGCAAGAGCTAAAACTATTTTTTTTATTGCTAGTGGGGTGGGACTAAGTCCCTTGTACTGCGGCCACTTCTGGCCTATTGTACCAGCCCCAGATGATAGGTGAGGGTGATTGTGGAGCAATTGGTGGAATGAAGCTTGGCAGGGGAAACCGAAGTACTCGGAGAAAAC